ATAAATATAAATATATAAAATATACAATATATACATAATTATATAACAAATATATGTATATATGTATATATTGTATATTTTATTTTATTATAATGAATATAATTGCCAAGTTTAATTGTATGATGCGTACATGGAACAACATCATAATGATCATGATTTATTTTGTTTACGTCGATTTCTGAATCGTTGCAAAAGCAGCACATTTACGCACATCGAGTAAAGTCTAAGTTTAGATTATTCAGAGCGGTTGTTCTCTCGTAAACAAGCTGCAATTGCCTTATAATTCAGTGAATGCAATTGAACGATTCCATTTATATGATCAATGTATAATTTAAATTTAAATTTGAATGTACTTTTTCTGCGAGTTTATTATCTAATTGGAAAAACCATGCTTACTGTGAACATTGCATAATGCGAGTCAACGACGTCGAGCTTCTGAAGTTTTCCTTACGTCTATGATCCAAATTTATTGCGTCTTGACGAACAAGATGAAAAACAACAGTTACAAACTATTTAAATGAATTAAAAAAATATATTTTTTAAATATCGTGAATTTGTTAATGAATTTAAATAAAGATTTGTAAAAATTTTAATTTTTTATTTTATTATTAGCTTTTTAACAAAGAGAAGTGGAAATTGATATATTTTAGACAAATCCTTTGACTTTTTTAAATTTATAATTTTTTGCCGACGTCTGCACGTTTCTCTTAATGATTTGCATGTAGACGCAGACCATCATATTTCATTGCATTTATATGTCAGAAAATCGATGCAATCAATAAAATGTTTTAATGTCAAATTATTTCGGAAAATACATACACACATAACTTTTACAACATAGTTATCTTATATTTTATAGATATATAGTCTTAATTTTGCTTGCGCTGAACATAATCATCATTGATATAATAAATATATTACTTTCTTGGACTAATTAATATTAAATCAGCAACCATTTTTAAGCTACGAATAATGATAATTTAATGACATGATATTTATTTAATAAAACTTATATATATATTTTTTAAAGAAAATATTTTTAATTCAAAAGAAGAAAATACGAAAAATTTTTTTACTGTTTTTAATTTGAGATATAAAAAGAAATTTAAATAAATATTAAAAGTATTGTAGAGAAATGCTTTTTTATTTACTTCTTTTCTCTTTAATAACATTTCTATTTATATAAGTTTTTTGGTTTTATTGTTTAACTTGTTAACAATGCTAACTAATAATAACGATGAAATATTCTTAATGCTTGTACTATTAAATTATTTTTTTCAAAGAAGAAACTTTTTTAGAAAGTTTTGCATATAATATTTTCAAGATTAATATTATGCCTAAAAATAAAGGAAGACTTCTAGAAAGCGATTTCTTCACGTCAGGGAAATTATTCCCACCTTGAGCCTTTCCCAAGACAATGTGTTCTCACCGATAGTGGTGATGACAGTGAGACAGTACACGACAGCATTCAAGAAACTCCAACTCTTTTGACCGCTATATGTATGCAAGCCAGCTTCGTGAGCTGTGTGAAGCTGTTCCTCGAATTCCATCAGCTTCCTGCGCGCCATGCTCTTCCAATCATCCTCCCTCAAATTATGACTATAATTCCACAGAGTGTCTAGGAAGTCACGCTTCACGCGTTTCACGCCACATTTATAGAATGTTTCGAAAGCACCCTCGACGAAACGGAAGACAAAACCGCCGAGGCCGCAGTAGATTATTATAAGCAGTAGTCCGGCTATGCAGCGATTACGCAGCCGCCTAATGATCGTAGTCTCACGTGGATTTTGTGCCACGAAGGTCTTAAATTCACTGACGACGTCTCTAAGAGCCCTGAAGAAATCTAATAGAGTAATCTTCTCCGCAGCTTCTTCCTTTTCTATTTTGATTTCTTCAACTTCTGAAGCGGGATTTGGTATGTCTTCAATCTTCTTCTCTGTAATATTTTCATTCTTCTTCCTATGCCAGAAGGACAACCAAGAGAACCATGATTTTTTCTTGTCTGCTACATCGGAAGATTGCGTTTGAACAATGTCCTCTTGCTCACTTTCACTGTATGTCAGATTGTACTTTCGCCTCCTCAAGGAACTAATTTCAACAGCGTTTTGAAACATGTCTACTTCCGGATCCAGGATACTGCGTTCTCTTAGCATGTACTCCCTCTGAGCCCTCGCGAAATCTTCGATCAAGCTTTCGTTACTCAACGGGATGATCTGCTTTTTCATCTCGATAGAGGATCTCTTTACCTTTCGCTCTTCGGCAGATTTTTGCGATAAACTTTCATTCTTCTTTGCCATTTTCAGATCTTCGTTTATATCTTCAGTCTGATTGTAAAGTCTTGAATGTGGCACAGAATCATCTCTCGTACGAGACTCATCTTCGAACTTCTGCCAACTCGGAGACCTCTTCTCTCGATTCAGTCTTTCGGTGTCCTTCTTTTGTACTTCAGGATCACTGATCCGATTCTTTCCGCTCATCTTTTTCACCTTGGACTTGACTATTTCTGGTGACTTTGTTCGTCTTCGACTAGATTCATTCTTTTCATCTTTTTCGTCACTGGAGTCTGTTGACTGGCTATATTTCTCCACGCGTTCCTTCGATCTCCTTTTAAGTCGTCTTTCAACCTTACGAATTTCGACAGATTTACTGGTCTCGCCGTTTGTTTCTTTCGGTATCTCCGATGTCTCTTGGACAACACTATCCTTAACTGTCTGAACAATCTCAGGTCTGACAATGTTCTTCTTTGTGATACCATCATCAAACTTCTTCGCTACTTCGGTGATCTGCTTTACCGGTTGCGTACTGTTGTCGTCAATTGTTACAGAGTCAGTCTCACGTGTCTTCAAAATATTTCCAGCCGTTGACTTAACGGCCACTTCGGCGCGTACAGAGATCATGTCATCCATGTTCGCAGAATCCCTCGCGTCAATTTTGTTCTTTCTTCTAGCCGGACGCTGCTCTCGATCATTCCCCATTTTATCCTTATTCTCTAATTCTTCCTGCTTCTGATGTTGTGACAATCTATTTTCTTTTTGTTGCTGTTCCATTTTTTCTGCTTCCTCAGCCATCCTCTCCATTTTGGCGCGCCTCTCTTCATCTTCATCATCTGAAGCATCTATACGCGACGCAGCACCCCTCGATGAGGGATCAGGAGTTTTCTCACGCTTCCTTGCAGCCGCCTTACGACGTCTATGAACCATGTAACTGTCTTCCATCGCGCGACTCTTCGTCGTCGCCGTTGTCGTTGTTGTCGTTATCGTTATTCGACGGTCTTCGTATACGCGAGAGAGACTCTCGCGACAGAAACTCACTCGCGAGGCCAGCCCCAACGAGGCCGTGACAGAAATAAACGGAGGTTGCTCCCACCATCTGCCGCCACCACCACCGTCGGCACGGTGACGTTTGCTGCTACCAGCAACTGCGACGGAACCGGATGACCGGCTTCACCGCAGCGGATATTGAGCGGGGGCATCACGCGCAATCGAAATCGCGGCTTTGGCGTCGCGACGCCGCGCCTGCACCGCTGCAACCCATTCGGTCGCCCAGCTTGGAGGTTGCACTGCACCATCCGAATCGGGTGACCCTTTAACCCCATGACCTCGTAAAAAATGAAAATTCTATAATGGAGTCATTTAATCTGCATCGATCTGCATCCGACGTCAAACATCTTTTAAATTTTATGTTTGATAAAAAATAATGACGACTTAATGAATAATTAAGTATAGAAATAAAGAAATAAAGAAAGAAATGAGGGAAGAAATAAAAAAAATAACAGACAATTAACGTATTTGAATAATATTAAACAAATAAGTTAAACTTCTCCGAAAAAAAAAATATTTTAATGTCAGTAATACAAAAAAATTACAAGAATTAAATTATGGTAAAATTATGATTACATAAATATGTGAATGTTCGTGTAATATTGTATTTATAAATTTTTTAAAATTATATCTATAATTATATCGATGGCATATATGAAGACCTAAATTATTGTCATATTTTGTATATTACAACTGAACTATTACATTTTTAATAATAATTAAATCCAAACGGAACAATTTATGAGATTATGGAGAAATTAAAGTGGCCAAGACAGAATTAATATAAAATATAATTAAATTATTATCTCAAGTAATCGCGATTTAATTCAAATGAAATAATTGAATGAAATGAAATCAGCGAAGAAAGGAAATCATAAAACAGTCATTTTTATCTATTTAAACCAATCGTTAAAAAAGAAGATTAAAAAGAAGGTTAAAAAAGAATCATTTTACTTTAAATTTTTGATAATTTTATTTTTTTAATTTTTAATAATAAATATAAAAAATAGATTTCACAATAATATCATCTTGTTTTATATATTTATAACATTTAAAATCATTTTTTCAGTTCTCTCTCTCTCTCTCTCTCTCTCTCTCTCTCTCTCAAATATGCAAATATCCTTTGTACAAAAAGTAAAAATGGTATTGTAATTATACAATTCAAATAATATTAAAATCATAATAATTAAAAACTTTTTTGTAAAAAATTAATTGAATTATTTATATGTAACAGAAGTCTCGATTAAATGTAAAAAATGTATCTTCGATATATGCGAACTTCTTGTCATCTCGTTAACAATTCGTGATTAAGCATAATTTATGAATCAAAAATACAATATGTAGTAATGTGTTTTCATCTACTAAGTTACAACAAAATAATTATTTTCAACATTACTTTAGATTAGCATCGCAATAATGTTGTGCAACATGTTATTAATAACTATCTGCATTTGCATATTATCTGTATGCAGTTTGAAATGTTATGCATTTTTATTTTTTATAATAGAAATTGACAAATTTGATAAGCGATGTGATACTACTTAGTGACGCAATGTTGGGTTGTCCAGAAAGTTCGTGCCGATTTTGAAGGAAAATTAAAACGCAGAAGATTTAAATTTTTAATTTCATTTATTAAATTTAAATCTTTTGCGGCAATATATGTCTTCGGTTTTACTTTATGTAAGTTTTTATATTATTATTGTATAAGTTAATATTTTTTTATAATCGTTCATTACATAGCTAATTTGGATAAAAAAGAACGAACTAAATTGTCGGGAATGTCATCAACTTGGAATTTCCGTTATTTATATAATTTCGATTTATATTTTATATTGATAAAGATCCGAATTGAAACGTTTATTTTATTTGTTTTGTTATATTCACACGAAAATAAAGAATTTTCTGTGCATCCAAATAGCTGATGTAGGCTCTGATGAGCTTTTTTATATTTTTCACTGATAGATTCTTTTGAGCCTCATTTTATATATTTGAAATTGACAAAGTCATTTCGCAAAAATGTGCAGGAAAATTAATTCTTTCATGAATTCTCACGTTATTAATTTATTAATTAATAAATTCTCTCTATTTCCCTCATTTATTAAAAAAAATATATATCACTTTTTATTTAAAAAAAATTGTCATAAATAAATGCAATTATAAATAAAATTTGTCATAATAAGTAAATCTATATACATACACGCATCAACGTATATCGGTCAGTTCGAAAATTTGCCAATTTAAATATTTGGCATCGCTTTCTCACATTGATTTAATTAAAGTTTACCAAAGAGAACGACGATTATCATACAAACATTCGTTCATACGATTCCATTTAATTGCCAGTCAGAATTGGCTTGCACGAAATGTCTCGATATAATTTTGCGCGATATTTTCCGTTCGATATCACAATACACTGCGGCTGAGTAAGCGCACTTAGTTTCGAGCGAGATAACATCATCAGAAGATTTCTCGCACTTTACATCTGTCAAGAAAATGACATACACGTATATCCTCCTACGATCATCTTACTCAGTTTTTTTCCATTATATAATGACAGAACTCGAAATAGTACGCGTGGGCACGCACAAAGTCGTATAGAAAGAACGCATGAATGTGCACAGTGTTCGAATCGTCAAGTTTTTCACAATCGAGACAGCAAGAAAGACGTAGGATATGCACTTTTATATACGTAAACGCTATGTATTATAACGTTATGTATTATACATTTGTTGGAACATTGCAATGTACTCGTACGATCGTAGATGTTGCGACAAATTTTGAATCAGTTCTCTTTTCATAGAGATTATTTATTTGATTTTTTATTTTCAACTTTTAACCTGGTCATCCATGTATCACGTAACGTTTAATCCAAATAATCTAACGCAGGTACAGGCGTGCAATCGGTCCGTGTATAAATAAATGCGAATATGTCTGAATAAATACGAAGAAACTGATGTTTCTAAATAATCTGTGTCATTCCTCGTGAAATCCAGCACTGTTATTTTGCACTTGTATTCGAAATCATAAGTTAGATTTTTAAACAATTCGGAAAATATATTTTCCACAGTGTGAAAAGTTATATAAAGTTATATATGAAAACAATTCTGCAGAAGCAACAATAACGAATTCTTGAATCTTTCTTTTCATTTTATTTTTTATTTATTTTAAATTTATTTTTTATAAGTAAATTTTTTTTTTACATTATCTCTCATGTCACCATGACTGGAAATCAAACTATTAATAAAGTATCATTGCCGATATATGAAACTGTATCAAATAGGGTGATAGATACTATATGCGCAAAATGCCGCTGTATTAGCGAATAAAATTTTTCAGAGTTACATATTGGCAAGTCATATATTGACCATACGCACGTATCAATTTTCGCGCAAGAGCGTAAAAATTACACAAAGCACTTAGGAAACTGGGTCATGTACGTCGTGTATTATAGTAAAACAAAAAATGTGAATTTTTTGTACAAACAATTGCGAAAGATTTATTTTATAATCATAGTTTTGAAATAGCATGTTAAATTCTTAATAAGTAATTTATAAATGGAAAAATAATTGATGACACAATAAATATTTGTAAAATGTATTGATCATTACATTATATAACTTTTTGGGAACTGACATCAAAATATGTAACGTACTAATTCTGATACCGATCTATTAATTCGGAATCTAAATAAAGCTTGTTTAACCTACTAATTGAAAAATACTAATTAATTTTAAAAAATCAAAAATGACATAACTTGTATTTAAAAAAATGAATACTAATAAATTTATTTTAATAATTCAAATTTGCAGATGTAACAAAAATTGAGTGAGTCCAATACTATCATCTTATTTTAGTTTTCAAATATGTTTCAAACTTAGTTCTTAATATAATATGCTCAATCAAATATCTGGCAAAATAAGAAAATAAGATTCTTCAAATCATAAATAAGATTAGGAATTCCTTTTTTGATTTTCATAAAATATTGTTATACAAAAAGAAGAGCTTTTTATGAACACAATAAATAAAATTAATAAAAATTCTATCATAATTATTTTATTTATTCTTATATCTACAAGGGATAAATTCATTTATATTCTACAGAGATCTGCATTCACACCGCATGCATCTATATTACCAGAAACCGACACAACCCATATAAACCTATGCAAAGCAATATGCAAGAATTGAGCTTGAAATCACGTCGCGTATGCAACATATTGATTGTATATATAATACATTATAACGCATATACGCATCATCCCGGCTGCTTTATTCCTCCGCTGGCTTTTGATTTCTCGCTCGAGGAGAAAGCTGCGCAAGATAAATAAACTAAATGTCATCAAGCCACACAAATAAAAATAAATTCTACGAATTTTATGAGAGCGGGGACGGTACAAGTTAAAACTGTCGTAAAATGTTTTGTCAGAATCGAAGCATTTTGTCATAATAATGAAATTTCTCTTAAGATATTTGGTTTTTCTACTTTTGACGAAAAAATATGTGTCTCATACGAAAATTGTTCTATTTCCAGATACGCATAAATAGCACCAATTTTTTTGTACTTCTCTTTCCAAAGAAAATAATCATTCTCACGTGTTGAGTATATTTTAAAAAAGCGTAAAAACAAATTTTCTTTAATAGGGAGATAATATTAATGATATCGCATACCAGAATTGTTCTATTAATTAAAATAAGGAACTACATGGAAAAAAATATTGATGTATTAATAGTATTAGCTGCAGTAATCTAATTGAAAATAATATTTTTAATTCAATAACAATATTAATGAAACAAATATGTATTTCTTGTTTTAATAAAAATATTTGTTTTATTAATATGGTTATTGAATTAATTATTTTCAGTTATCATTTTTTTTCTTTTTTGTGTACGCTTATAAATTTTAAAATGTTTTATAAAATTTTTTATGTCGCGTTAGATGACATCTATAATAAGGATAGGAAAAGATTTTAAGGTGTAAAATTTAAGTTTTAAGCCGTAAAAAAATTGATCGATTATAGTTGATTATTCTTTTTTTCGACTGTGTGTTGGTTACGATTTACTTAAAGCTTAAAGCTTCAAATTCATGCCTTAAAATTTCATTATAGATGCTGCTTTAATTCTGCTAAAATCAGGGATGTTAAAAGTGAAATGAATGCGGCTATTGTACTCACCTATAGTCGTATAAATGGTGCCACAGTAGAACACAGCATTCCAAAACGTCCACACTTTTTCGCCTTTGTCTTTTAATTCTCGACCGAAATACTCATACAGATCTTTCTCGTACTTCATCAGTTCTTTCACCGCTGCTCCTCTCCAACGGGATGTATCTGATGCCAACACCGAGTCTTCGCATAATCCACGAATTGCCTCGACTGTTTCATTTCTATGAAAACATGATGGTCGATTCTTTTATTTGAGATTGTCTTAAGTATAGTCTTAAAATGTCATAAGCTAATCAGAGACTGATATTCATGTATATATATATATATAGAGTCAGTTCTTATATTCAAGATCATCTTAAGTTCTGTCTTGAAGTGTCATGAACTAATCAGAGGGGCGCATTAGTCCCTTAATTTTAAGACATTATTTAAGACAATCTTGAAATAAGAACCGACTATGAATATCAGCCAGAGGGCCGTATTAACATCTTAAGACATTACTTAAGATGATCTTAAAATAAGAATCGAATACCGGCCAATGTGCGAAAATTTATTATTAACATTTTTATTCATATTATGACAAATAAATTATGAAAAAATGTCAAGTTTTTCTTTTATACGTAAGTGACTAACTTGAGCCAATTCACTAAGACTTTTCATAGAATACGAAAATCTTTATAAGATTTCGATCGTGGATGAAACCCTGTCACTTCCACAATTTTTATAAAATTCAAGAAATAAATGTCTCCACCGCATAAACTTTGCCAATATTCAATTCTTTTTCCATTAGAAACTTTATAAACTTTCATTGTAAATAATAAACTTTCAGAGTAAATTCTTGAGAAGAAATTCAGGGGAAAGCCACGAGGATGACATTAATTAAATATTCTCAATGTATACTAGATTTTCGATTTTATCGCACCCGATATGCGAAACTAATCTCATATGAATAAGAATAGCCGTCAAAACTTCACCGGTCTTTGTCCGGAAGCCAATCGATTGCTAGAAAATTGCGGAGAAAATCACAACCAAAGAAAAACATGAAACATGCTCGTCATTATGACGAAGACGCAAAAGAGTGTCATAATATCATTTGGCGATATTTATACGGAAATTCTGCAGCTTTAAAATCACGTTTATTAATATCTTTTATGGAGAAAATACATTTTTTGTATAGTGTATTTCTAAGAAAGATAAAACAATTATCGCAATTACTTTTTCGAGCTACCCTTAATGAAAATAATACTGGCTAATTTGATATTAGCCAATTTATTATTGAAAGAAAATTAATTACTTATTTGGAGTACTAAAAATATTGAACATCAATTCTTTTAATACTTAAAATAAATAATTAATTTTTATTTTTTAATATATTAAATTGGTCATTCCTGTAGAGATTGAGTCGTAAAAAAGAAAAAATTCTCACTCATTAGTATTAATTTCATTATTCATTTCATCAATTGAATGGCTAATGTGAAAAAAATAATGTAATGTATAATGAAATAAAAGTATAACATCTTTTAAAAATACTGTTCTTTTAAAAAATGATACTGTTTTTTTAAAAAATGATATTGTGAGGGATGTAGAAACCTCACAATAGAATCGAAAACAAGTGACATTAAAGCAACTCAACGAACAAGGTTGAACGATCAATCGTAAAATCCAATATCGGTTAGTATGATTAACAATTGTTGCGCTGTATACTCGACGCGCAACATTAGCAAGACTAGGTGGAGGCCAGAATTGACATTATCGACAACGAGTTTGTATTGAAAACGCAATATCGCATTGATCAATTCGCATACTACACGAACAGATGAGAATTAGATCAGGATCTACGTATATTAATCATTTGATTACATGCGATAGTTAACTAACAGATCATTAATAGATGTTAAAATCATATTATACGTAGCATTTTCTTTTTTTTTTGTTCATGACAAGATTCGCTTGATTCCTTGATTTACTCTCGCATTTTTCCAAAATAATCAACGATTTCTCACGATACATATTCACATCCTTGGAACATTCAACAAACTACGTTTTAATGAACAAATAAATAATAGATCTTATTTGTAATGACCAAAAAATTTGTGAAAGTGCTTTGCTAATTCGTGATCAACATAAATCTTAATTTTAAGGATTTTCTTAATAATATTTTATAGTGTTAGATAGTTTATATTAAATAGATGAAAGAGTAATTATCAAGTATCTTATTATAATATCAAATAAACGAGCTTTTGATACTTATTTAAATCTTTTCTGGATAATTGACTTTTTATTTCCGAACATACCTTTGCTGCCGAATGTTCGAAACAGCAATTTTTTCGGCCGATCCTTCAACCGCTACGAAAATTATCGCCCCGATGATGCTATACAGAAGTATGACAACGAATAAAAAAATATGCGTGAACCATCTCTTGCTCCAGGATCTGACCTGCACATAGCATTTATATTATCAGTTTTTAATCATTAAATGAATTAACAAAATATGATCTATGTGTTATAAATTACGAGCATATGATTAAATTAAAGTCAACGATATTTTTTTTACCATATATGCACGGAATTTTTTCTTAGAGTTATCCTGAAAATATATCGTAGGATGACATTGTATTTCAAAGAATTTTAATGTAAATCTCTTTCATTCATTAATAAAATTACAATAAAGTATAAAATAAGTTTGATTAATTTTACTGAAGCACATGCAATAAAAATCTTTAAAAAAATCTTGTATCACAATTATCATATTTTTAGGATAAATTTAGGATAAAGAAGAATTTTAAAATAAAATTCTTTCCGTGTCATATTAACAATTCTTAAACAAATTATAGAATATAATAAGTTATAGGCTCTGATCAAATCGTTAACCAAATAATCATGTTAATAAGAGCTGACACAAAACTTTAATGTGTTTTTAAAAATTGTGTTCAGTGTATGAAAATCAATATTATATAAATTAATATCAGTATATCTTTTTTGTCTTTAAATGTTTAATCATCAGAGAATTTTATTATTGTTTAAAAATTTACTATTGTTAGAAATTTATTGATGTATAAGGTGATAATTGGGAAATTGCAGAAAGTAAATAGTCGTTATTTTGTAAGGAATGGATATAAAATTAAATGAATTAAATATTATTCTACAGAATAATGTTTAATCAGTACAATTTTATCAGCACAATGCAAATAAAATATATATTTATAAATTTAAATATGAACATTATCTATTCAAAAATTAATCATTTTGATTTATGCTGTATGTACATTTAAAATCTCAGCAGAAATAGTCATTTCCATGAAAAAATTTATTAGGAATTTTTCGAAAGCACTATTATTAATGTTAGAAAATATATTTAATAATTTTCACAAGCAATTTCATATTTTAATTGGTATGAAAGTTCAAGTGATCATCGTTTTGAAAAATCATTAAACTATGCAATCGAATTATTCTTATTCTTTAATGATGTTTATTTTTACAAGTTTATACACTGAGAGAAATGATTTTTTATAGAAACAAATCAAGAGAAAGCAAATGTGATATTTGTTAAAAAAACGATCGATTTGTTACGATTGCAAATTAATTTGTCAATGTAATTGATAATAATACAATAAATAATCAAATACAATAAATAATCAATAGTATCGCTAGCAAATAAGAGGCTCATATATATATATATATATAAAAATCGAGGTTGCAGGGTCTCAAATCATAAGAAATTTACCAATTCTAATCAAGTATTCTTCTTATATTTGATTGTGTTTCGTCGACTTTAGACTTTACGATCATCTACGAATTCTATGTAAACGAAAATCCAAAATGTAGATTAGATTCTATATAGTTTGCTTCAGTTATTAATAATTGGTATAGCAGACTAGCAGCAATCACAACAACAAAATTTATTGTTACATATTTACCGATCACTGGTTAAAGGTACTGGAGGCTTGCTAAATTAACAAAATCCTTTCTCTAGGTGTACATATAAAGTAAGAAAACCAATTTGCACAGTCTAAATGTATTATAAAAAATTATGTATACAAAACGTACGTTTATATACAATGTTTTATCTATTAGATAGACGTATTTTAGTGATTTAAAAATTAACTTTATTTTTAAATAAAATATATTATTATGTTAAAATTCGAAAGAATACCAATTTTGAGTGAAAATGTATTAATCTTTTATTTTAGAGCTGTTATAATCTTAATAAATCTTCCTAAATCTAATAGTTAATGAGATATTTTGTTTTCTTCTTGAAATTTACTTCATATAATATCAAAATTGGAGATTCAAAACAGCGTACATTTGCTTAACAATATACACGAATAATATTAACGCGATCGTTTATTTCTCTCTTCTTTTTTAATGTAGGTGCTCAAAATTTTATTAATATTGATATTATTTAAGATGCTTCTTTAGTAAATTAAGTTATCATAGAAATGTCTAATTTTTTTATATAATGAAATTGAAATACTGAAATTGGTTGTGCAAAATTCTACGATAGATTAACAATAAAATAAGAAAAAAAAATGAAAAAAATATAACTTTTCATAACTTACATTAATGACAGGCTCATAGACGCTTCTTTGACTAACTGCACACAAATCTTACCATAAACATATTCTCAAAAATGAGATTATAATAGTTTCAAAAATTACGATTTTATCATTAAAAGTGATAGCTCATCAGCCATTCTAGACAGATATTCACGTGCATAAATTTGTATATAAATTTAACCTCGAAAAGTAACCATAATCTCATCTTGTTTTTCGTTCAGAAAGAAGATGCTGCTCTTGATTTATCAAGATGTTCCATATTATTTTATTAAGATATACGGGTATTTTTAATATTTTATCTAAATTATGCAGATATTTATAATTTTGACTGGATCCTAAAGAGATATTCAAAATTTGCGGCATTTTACTAAAAAATTATCTTAATTTAATAATTATAACAAAAAAACAGTACTCTAAATTATTTCTGATTTCTAAGCATAATGCATATTTCAAGAATTCTTTACTTTATATTTTGGTATTGTTAGTGATTTATAGTATTTTTTAATATATTTATTTAATGTGAACAGAAATTAAAAATTAAAAATATTAAATTTGAAATACGGCAATCATAGGAATTCTCCATCATTATTAATCAATTGAGCAATTATGTTTGCAATTATGTTTTCTTTGACACATAATGCATAAAATAACCATCGTGTTGGGACTATATTTATGTATAGACGTTTAGTGCATGATATTTCCAATAAAACTGTTAAGATCAAGTTACATGAAGCAAATTTTCCAGAAATAAAGTAAAATATCTTGTTAACCATTATTTAGAGATTAATATATTAGAGACAGATTAAAACGTTTTTAACCAGAATTCAACATTTTTTCATTTTAATAAGAAAAATACTTATTTTAAAAAAATATTTTCTTTATTTTAAAAATACGATATTTTATTTAAAAAACTCTTCGCTTATATATTTACAGAAATTTTTTTATTTAAAAAATCTTTGGAAAAGTTGTTTTTACAATGTTTCATCTAAAAAAACAATGTCAATTTTCAAATCTCCAATAATTCATACACACAAAAATATATTTAAAAATTAAAAAAATATATTTAAAAACTATACTACACGGTAAAAAACTACACGGATATGCTCAATGTAATATCAAATTAAAGATTCAATAACAATGGTGCTTAACAATATACACGAATAATTTTACTTTAACGTAATTGTCTATTTTCCTTTTTTAATATAGATGCTTAAAATAACGGCATGTGGTGCCGTTACACACACATATATGTATATATGTATGTATATATATATATATATAAAT